TTCAGTAAATAATTATGATGTTATCTTTTAATCTTTTTGAGTTATTATTTTGCAGTGTAAGATTACAGAGTATTCCAATTTATAAGAATCCGCTAATACCGATCCACAATCAGCGCTATTATTGCTACACCACTACAGAATATCAATACTGTGTTTGTGGGACTAATGGTCACTCTTTTAAACCCTTTGTTAAACGCAATCCACTAAATACTCACTTCCTCATTACAGAGAAAAACTACATTTGAATAAAAATATAGAAGCTATGAAATTAAACTAGCTGACTGTATAATTTAGCAGCAAAAACAATATCTTGGGAAAAAAATCTTTGGTGCACATTATACAATTTAAACATGTTTATTCTGTTAACTATTTGTATTCTTACAAAATACATTCATGAATATAAGATAGAAATCACGAGAAAGAAAGGCTTCTAATAATCTTTCTGTTTGTGATAATATCTTCCTTCCTTAAACTAAAGTATTATAATGGGAATATATAATCTTGGAGTGAATGACTGACAGCTGCAGCAGAAGGAAGAGGAGTTTCTGTAAACCTAAATTCTGTCCCTCAAAGTAAGATATGGAATGGCTTCAGATGATATAGTGCAGGGCTCTAGACTGAGACCATTTTTTCTGCCTGTGCGACTACATTGTGTGTGCTGCGGCACTGGCGCGACCACCGCGCTGGTCAACTCATAAGCGCTTCAGTTTCTGTTGCATATGAGAAACATCAACAGCGCTTAGAGAGTATACCTACTCAGCTACAGCAAAAACGAGCCGCATATTGAGCAAACGATGGATGGTTTTCAAGCGAAAGTCAAGTAAAAGACCGCTTCTTAAACCAGAGAAGCTGAACATGCTGGTATTCTTGTGTGTGGGGGGGACATGCAAGCACTGTCACCGTTAGCTTTACTTTTCCTTTTGTTTTCATTTTTGAAAAACTTATCTTTGCTGTTTACCTTAAGCTATGGAGGCTCTCTTTTATTTATTTGATTCCTCAGTGTTTGCTAAACGTTCTGTAATTTATTAGACGGTATATAATACAGCATGTGGTGTGTGCCATGCCTCATCTTATTCCTTCTTACTGATTTATTGTTGTTGTGCTTTTTAATTCAGAATAACAATGAATCCATCTTTTGTTTTAGTCTTAAAAAATGAAAGGTGTGTAAGCAAAACAGTGACAACAAGATCGCGAGTTCGAAAGTGAAAGCATCCGAAGCTTAACACAGCAAAAGAGAAACTCCCATTCACAAAATTCAAATCACAAATAATACTACTGATGGTAAAGAATGGGTTGCACGT